CTGAACACAAAACAGCCGCTGTAGAAGACAGGCCTAGGTGGCAATAGCAAGCTGGACAAGAACAAAAAGAAATTCCTTCTTTTGTGGACACATTTAATCCAAAGTACGTATTCAGGTTTGTGATATATAGGAACGAGAAAAAAAATAACACTGAAAGACCCAGCTATCTAACTCACTGATAGGGTCTGTGAGTCAGCAAAATAAAAGCTTTGGAAAGAAGGAAGAATTTTTCATCTCTCTCCTGATGTGGAGACTTCCATGCGATGTAGTGCAAGTCACTGGGAGCTCTGCAGTACAAAAGCTCTGAGCACCATGCAGCATTTGTCCCATTTCACCTACCAAGGCAGGAGAAAGAGAAAAGACAGTAGTTTGACTTTTTCTCTGAGAAAAAATGTCACTCTTCAAGAACATGCATCAGCAACTTGGTTGTTTTCAGTGCTTTAAAGGCACAATACTTTCTTCACCTGCTTTGAAGAGAAGGTGGCCCTGGAAAAGTCGCTTTACCTTTCCCTTGCCAAGACCACAGGGAGGAAGACTGCAGTGACCCACATGTGTCAGCCCTGTGAAGCTCCAGGCAGGTCTGAGCCCCCAGCAGGCTAATCCACAATCCTATAGTACCTACACAGTTTTCTTGTTGAAATCATTCAAGGAATGCATGCACAAAGCTGTCCCACAGCAAATATGTGTTCAAAGGTAAAAATAAGCATGGAAGCATAAGGTCTTAAAAAAAGAAGCTAGAGGCAAAAATAAGACATCATCATGCTAGACTGGTTCTAAAAGTATGAAAATGCCTCTCCTATCATCTGCATCTTCCTTTTCTGCACTATTTGTCTTCCTCAAAATAAATTTCTGATCCTAACTTGCCCAGCAAGACAATGAAATGTAGCTGGCTTAAACATACTTAGAAATGCCTCTCTGCCTCTATCTTCTATGCTGTGGCTACCCTTTTTCACAACAGTTTTTTTTTAAAAAAACAAACAAACAAACCAACCACCACCAAAACCCAGAAAGGAATGACCTTTCTACATTTCTTATGGTACAGAACAGCAGCAACTCAACAGGTTATCTGTTTTGCTCCAAGGGCTTTGAGTGCCTTACCCCCTCCACAGGGCCTTTAGGGAACAGCACCGCTGGTCTCGGGAAGATGCCAAGCTCAATATAGCACATGCCCTCATTGCCTTGGTGGTATTACCATTGTCAAAGTAAACACAGCCTTTCACCTTTTTTTGCCATAATATACCAGATAATGATTTCCTGAAGTTTTTGAGATAAAAGAAAAAAAATTAGCATCAATGTAGTCTCCTTTATATGGTCAACTACCTTAAAGTACAAGCATCTGGTTAAAGTGCTTATTTCATCACTTGAAAATGCCTCTATCTCCTCCCAATGCCTGTACCATACTCTACAGTTCAAAACCCTACCATGATCACTTTCCCCATGTTTTGTGAACACAGATCTGTAGTATACTGAAAGCGAACCTATGAGAACATCATAAAACACAGGGAACACAGAAAATATGTGAATAAATATAGTATTGTTCTGACTTTCGTGGATTTTTATTTAAATAATATATATACGCCTTCATTTCTAAAAGTATCAGATGCTGCTAGAGTTTTTCAGAAGCCAGAACTATGGATCAAGCTTCTGTGCACAAAGTTGGGTCTAAAATGTGACAGGGTAAATGCTTAATAGTGACTCATTCATATCATTACACTGGCATCTTCTATAAAGAGACAGTTACTCATGCTAAGAGTTGTTGGACACAGCTTTTCTTCCCTTCTCCCTTCCCTTCCCAGCTCTTGTTTTGTCTAATTAGATGAACATTTATCTCCTGACAGACTAGAGCTGGCAATACTACAGTCATCCTTCCTTCCATCCCTGTTTAACCAGAGATAGTTGAAAGGAAGTGATTGCAGAGAAGTGAAGTCCTATTTCCCCAGCTCATGCTGCCATAGGCAATCAATTTGGAGCAAAGGTTCCATCTTGAAAATGTCAAACAGAATGAAAAAAGATAAAATCAAAAACGATGAAGTCAGCTCCAACCATTCCTCCAGGTCCAGCTGCTCCCCTGGGTTCTTCCAGCACTGCTGACAGCATAGCTAGAGGAATATCTGCTTTCTGTGCTGACTGGTGCTACAGGGTCCTCAGCCTCAAATTAATTGCCCCTCATCCACTCCTGCAATTCAAGAGAAACTGCTGGAGTATCACTCCTGCCTGCCACTCTGGAAAAAAAGCAGTCTGCTGGGCACAGATAGACCTTTATCTCCTCTGATCCCCCACCCACTAAACAGACAAAGCAACAGATTTCCTTCCTAGGCACCAAGGTTTGCTGCCTTTGCACCAGGGAAGGAAAATAACCACTACTGAAATACAGATATGTCAAAGGGCAGCAGTGGCTTCAGCCTGAAAGAGGCACCAGACACCCTGTTCCCTATAGTTCTTAAATTCTCCAGGACGCCATTTCACCCCAGTGTTTCATCAGAAAATACATTTTTCTATCTCATGCTACAGATCTGAGAAATTACCCATGGCAAGAGCAGGAAGCACAACAGGACTGGGCCCTGCTTTTTTTTGCTGTTTGTCACACTCAGCAAAAAGGAAATTCTGAACAGGAAATAGTTCAGAGGAAAATAATGACTGCGTTGACTTGGAAACACTATTCTACCTCAGAAAGAGCAGGGATGAGCTGAAGTAGCTGTGCCCTGGATGAGGCTAGTCCAGAGGTACAGAACCCATTCAGCTGCTAAGGCAGGGACTAAAGTTACAGGGACTTAAGAGTCTTAATTATGTCTGCTCCGCTGCAAAGGGAGAACATTCCCCACAATCAAAACACAATTTGAAAAGATCAGTACTGCCCTTGTCTTAAAACAGGTCTTCAGAGAAAAACAGCAAGGCTGCTGTTCCTAACAGGATATAGTTATACAGATTCAGTTCATTCTTAAATGCAGTGACCTCCAGATCCTCCAGCAGCTAACCCCATATACCAAGTACTCAGCACTGCACCTAACTGCTTTGGAGAGAGCTTCAAAGTCTCTCTCTCCTTCCCTGTCTTTAGATAGAACTGAAGGTTGACTCGCCTGTCTACATCTACCTACACTTATCTGACTCATGAACTAGCAAGAAAATCTGGGTCAGAAATATGCATGCACACCCACACATTCGGTGTACCCTCCCCAGGGAGGGAACAGGCAGCCTCACCCTGAAAGTGCCTCGGACAAAATCAGATATCTAAGTGTGTGAGCACAATGTGTCTAGACTGCCACTTTGGAGACTGACAAATGTCCTACTGAAGGCTCCCGTCTGCTGCCAACACAGCAGGCTCGGGAACTTGCTGATCCCACCACGGGATGCACACATCAAGTGTCTTACATGGCCAGGTATATTAGCAATGATATTTAAGGGGAGGCGACAAGGAGGAGGGCGGAGGGAGTACACACAGAACTTCAGAATAACCTTCTACTCGAGCCATTGCCAAGGTAAAGATGAACTTCTTTAAGACAATAACATTAAATAGTAAGATTCCCAGTGGATGGGTGCAGAAAAGTCATTGTTGCTCACAGCAGTGGCAAAAGCACACAAACAGAAGCATAAACCAGAGCCCCTTCCTAATGCCTATGAACCCTAACAGAAGATGTCTTGGGTGCAGGGTGTGTTTATTTTTGCCCACAGATGAGAAATGATAACATAAAACTGACACCAGCAGAGATGACAGGTGGTAGCAGAAAACGTGAAGGGAACTGAACAGTCTGATCTTCCGATTACAGGGACAAACAAGCACAGCACAGTATTTTGCAAGACCAGAGACATGAATTCAATACACCTTTTCTTATCATGCCACTGTAAAAATATGTATTTATCCATGGAGAGACATTTTAAAAAAAATAATAAATTAGTTTAGCAAGACCCTCTAGAACTTTCTTAATGCTTTACCGGATTTGACCAAGCATGCCTACAAGCACCAACGAGTCTCAAACCAGGCCTGACCTTACACCAACGCAACAATAGAAGGAAATCAACAATATCATTCATTACACCTTCTCCTCCCCAGAACTTAAAAGGACCCTCCCAAAGCAACAGCCACGTAAGACAGGAGTGAAACAGAGACCAAAAGCCCTAGGAAGACCAGAGGTCTCACACATTTCTCAAACTGACACAGTCTGGACAGTAGCTGCTCACTACCACCTTTCAAGGTTTTCAATCAGAATCAGCACCCCTCAACCCCGCCATCTCCAAGAGCTGTTAACAGCTTCCATCAAGACAGAGGAGCTCAGGACATTCATCAGTCCACTATGTAGTAACAAGTTACAATGGCATCGTTCCTTGTGAAATCCTACCTCTTCCATTTTATCAGTGAAAATCCTTTTCCCTCTCCAAGATGAGAAGGAGGAAAGCTTTAAGGCCTGCCAATACATCCCAAGGCAATTCCATCCCTGTCAGATCTTGTTGCTTCAGCAAATGTTACAAGTTGGTGACCACTGGCTACAATTATCACTGAGGGCTAAGCTCTTTTCCTGTGCCTTAAAGCGTGCAGCATTTCTCTTTCTAGATCTTCAAAGAACAGTGATGCCACAATTCAGGAGCTGCTGGCAGCAGGACATATTCTACAATAAAAGCCAGCAATGAATTCTCCTGGAAGCAGGAAACTCAGCAGCAGCATGAACTGCATGAGAATATGCTCACACACAAAGCATTCTACTGAAATAAAAAACAGGGCATTGATTTTGTTATTCATTTTTGTATTTAACTCAATATTAATCTCTGCATACAAATGCCTCTTCTCCACTGCTACTTCCTCATGCCTCAGCAGAATTTCTAGTCAGCAGCAGAAACAGAGATGTAGGTCCTAAGAACAAATCGATCAGCCTGCTACAAAGAGAAACTCTATGTGAGAAGAGAGCTCTGAGCAGATTGTCAGTCAAAGCCTCTGTTCTCATTTATCAGTGAGTACCTCTCTTAGTCCGCACATGTGGAGAATGGAGAAGAAAGCCAGCAACACTTACGCAAGGCATGCCACTCATCCTGGCGGATTGTCTTGGTGATGTTGTACGTGAGGTTCTTGGGAATGGTCGCTGAGGAGTAGTGGTACTTGATGTATGTGCACCGCTCAATTGCTCCTGGGAAGGGCAAAAATGCAGAAGAGAAAGTACTGTTAAATTAATGTGACATGTCCTCCCAGCTGTAGACCAGACGGGCTTGACAACCAAAAGCAAAGGCTAGGAGCAAAGCAATCCCTACCATCAGTCCACTGGGACAGCCCATGCTATCTTTGGCCCCTGACATGTACCAGCTACATGTAGGTTAAGTTCACATCCAGATTTATGATACACCAAAGGCCCTGCAGTAGCTGCGAGGGTGTCTGCTTTTACCATCAGATATATATGTGGCAAATCACCTCAAATTTCTTTTCTCTGAACCATGAGCTAGTAGCAGGCATACCAGCACCTACTGCTGAGAAACTGTAAATTCATGTCTTAGCTTATCATGCAGTAACATGTCTCAGTGCCCATACTCCAGGAGACAGACAGAGCAAACATCTTTGATCTTTCCTTCAGTAATAAAAAAATAGCACAGGAAAAGTAATATATATAGATAGTGAACAATTTTCCTGACCCCCCTCCACCCCACAGACAAGAAGCAAGACAAGCAGAAAGATACATGACAGGCTATGGTATGTCTCTTGAAGGTACCCAGACACTTTCATAGTAGGCTCAGAAACAGAATTTATTGGCACCCCTGAATGATGAGCCTCAGATGGCAACACAAATGGCTGAAATGGACAAATTTCCTCCCCGTAGTCAGGATTTCATCTATGTTCCATGGGAAAAAGCACCATGTGCTGCTTCAGTTTGTCTTCTGGTCATATTATTACATTCTCCTTTTACAGCCACTTTGCTTCCTCTACAGTATTCACACCTTCAGATCCTGATCTCCTGGCATCTCTCTGCATAGAGGAATGGGTCTGCCATAGCCTGATGCTTTCCAAGAATTACAGCCTAGCCAAATTTCACATCTGATCAGAAACCTGTGGTAGTGCAACCATTCTTGCATTGACAAAAAACAGTGTCCTGGTTTCAGCTGGAATAAAGTTAATTTTCTTCCTCATAGCTAGTACAGTGCTGTGTTTTCGATTTAGGATGAAAATAATATTGATAACACACTGATGTTGTTGCTAAGCAGTGTTTATACTAAGGTCAAGGACCTTTCAACTTCTCAAAATGTCCTGCCAGCGAGAAGGCTGGGAGTGCACAAGAAGCTGGGAGGGGACACAGACAAGCCAAAGGGGTATCCCATACCATATGATGTCATGCCCAGTGTATTAACTGCAGGGAGTTGCCTGGGGGCACCACAGCTCAGGGACTGGCTGAACATCAGACAGCAGATGGTGAGCAATTGTACTGTGTTTGACTTGTTTTGTACATTCTCTTATCTTCATTATTATTATTTTCCTTTCCTGTCCTATTAAACTGTCGTTATCCCAACCTGTGAGTTTCACTTGCCCCACCTCGATTCTCTTCCCCACCCCACTGCGAGGGAATGAGCAAGTGGCTGTGTGGTGCTTAATTGCCAGCTGGGGTTAAATCATGACAAACAGTAAGGTTTCCTACATCCCTTTTGCCAGCATCCTCAACTAATGCTGGTTTTATTAGACCTTCTCTCCAAGTACTCGGATTCAACGCTCATGAAAGTCACTGTTCCATTAATATCATGGTATCTTGGATCAGGCCTTTAATAACTAAATAGGTATCCCTGATGTGGTCAGCCACACTGTTTACTACTAGATATCGCTGGTCAGAGAAGCAAATACGCTGGAAATGCTTTTATATATTAAAAATACATTAAGACAGGCACTCAATAGAACAAATTAAATGAAGCAATGTGTTATATAAATAAGAGTGCTATATACACCAAGAAGCAGGTAGAGAACACTTACTGTCAAGCCTGAACTCAAAAGGCAGAGCCATTAGCTTTATATCAACAGCTCCAAGGGGTTAAATATGCTGTTATGCCACTAGAAATACAGGTTTCTACCTCAGGTTGTAAAATATTACTTGGCATGAACTTAGATCATACACCATGAATTCACAGCGTGAATAAGAAAACCCATGAAACTAAATTAGCTACATTGCAGTCTTCCAAAGTTAGTGCAATACAAACATTTGAGGTCCTCATTGTTTGCTCCTCTTAAGCATTCTTCACATTCTGCCTCTGACAGCAATTAGATTAGACAAAGCCAAATATTATAGGGGAAAAAGGCAAAATATTTACATATGTATCCGCCTGCCCTGACAGCGTGATGGGCTTCTGTGTGAGTCTGCACCATCTGGGCACCAAATGTACGCCCAGAATTAAAGTTTCAAACCAAGAACTGTATTTTAAAAAAAGACAGCTAGTGTGCAAAGAGGTTTAAAAAAAGGCCCCTAATCACAACCTTGCCATCTTATAGGTTTTCCTATTCCCTTTTGTTCGGCTGCTTTCATGGATCAGAAGCACTGGCAAGAAAATGGGAAATGCTTATTTGTCAGAAAATAATCTTTGAGTTATCAGATACCTGCCCAGAGAAGAGATTTATATAGAATACCAGACAAGAACACGAGCCAAGATTTAAAATAAAAGCATACAGACGGAGAGAAGAAAAAAACCCTGTTCCTTTAGCTACAATTTCTACTATAATCAGCAGAAAGCACCTCCTTTAACACCAGAGACCAATTTCTAGTCAGGTCCATCAAACTTTTTATTCTTACTGTTAGCAGTAATGCAGTGAAATTTTCACTATCTTATCTCACCAAAGTTTAAAGTAGAAAAAGAGATTATGGTCTGAATTCACCATATATATAATTTTGGGCTTATGCTTACATTCCTATGGCTTTAATGAGACTTAAATACATGTTTAAAGACTTTAGAACTAGGAGTACAACTGCAGTGGCAATGGTTCAATGGTAGCTAAAGTACTGACGGATTTGAGTGGTAAATTCATTATGATCTCCTTTCCAGCCACATGATGTATTTCAACACTGTTCCCACCTCTAAATAACATGCTATTAGCAATAAACATGACTCCAACCATGAGTTTGTGGGGACCGGAAAGTAAAGTGTTCTTCAGTGCACATGGTGAGATGTGTTCTTTTTCTCCTACTTGTCTCTGAAATATCAGGGCTTGCCACTGCATGCACTCAGCAAGGATGAACACAGTACAGTGAACTCACTTGCACCTAGGAACTGTCCCCGTTACTTGTCTTACAGAGGTAAACATACCCCCAGGTCAGACAGACAAGGATGCTGCTCCTGAAATTTCACCCTTCTCTGGAGCATTAAACATAGGTTCACTGCCAGAATGGGTAAAGCAAATTAATTTTTTGTTAGAGGGCTCAAAATACTTGAGTCTAATCCAAGTTACTGGGCTCCATAAAGGCATAAATGGATGAAATGTAATAGTCCATAATATACCAGAGATCAACTTGCATGAGCTAATGGGGCCTTTTGTCCTCAGGCTATTAAGCTCTCTTGTGAACACTGAGTTTAATACACTCAGGAGAATGTAGTTGAGTGTTTCAAAGCTGTCTTCTGTTAGCTTCCAGCACTTTGGTTACTTCAGAATCTAGAACAGCAGCAATGGCTAGAGAGAGCATGAAGCCATCTTCACCCACGCGGCCACTGCTGATAGGAGAGGCGGACACAATCTTACTGGGAATCTCAAGCTTTTCATAGCCCAAACTGACAAGGTTTGCAATTGCTTGGCATTTAAACATGAGCCATTTATCTAAACCTGCTCTCACAGGTGCAGAAGAGTGCCCCTGCTCAGCTAATGCATCTGCATCAGGGTATATCTAGCCAGAGGTGAGAGAGCGCTTTTGAAACTTCATAAAATACTTTCATTTGCCTGGACCTGCCAATAACAAATTAGGAACAGGATGAGTTTACAGCAGTGACAATTTCATACTTCATGATGTTTCCCTACTTGTCCCACACAGGAGATAGCTACGTTCAAGACCCCCAAACATGCAGTTCTGGAGGCCCCTGGGAGAGCAGAGGCAGTGACTGCAGCAAGTATCAGAACTACCACTCTCCTGGAAAGTCCTCTCAGAAAAGCTGTAAGAAATCCTTACCTTCACATAAGTAAGTTATGTTCACTCCAGTCTTTGGAGTAGGAGGGGAAGCAAGAGTATATTTAAAAAAAAAAAAAAAAAAAAAAAAAAAAAAAATTCCATATGCTCAATAGGGTAACTGCAAGTTATGTAGCATCTCCAGCCTTCAGCACTAATTTAAAAAGACCAAATGCAACTGCAGATGAGCTCTGCACTTTGCTCAAAGAGCTGGGAGCAGTATTTATAGAGCAAATGAGTGAACCTGTTTTTTCACTTATGCAGCTGCCATAGAAAGTGTCATAGCTGGCCAAAAGAAACATGAAACCACCACAAAGCTGCTCCACTGACAGATGCAGTGTATTTCTTGTTCCTCTGATCAAAAGGAACTGTTTGCTGAAAATCCTAAAGAAAAGTGGCTGACATCTTCAAATAGAGTGCTAGGAAAGGGATCAGCAGGAAGATGCAACTAGAAGCATGCAGAGCAGAACTCTGCCATACCACCCTCACATAAGCACAGATGCTCAGAGGGGATTCGGCAGCTGTAACTGTGGTTGTCAACCCCCTGCTCCAGCAAAGTTCAGATGGCAAGTAAAATTGAGATAAGGAAACCAGAGATAGCTCCATCCAGAACAGTTAAGTATTCACAGCATCAAACATGTCACACTTCTTACTGAGCCACTTCCCTGCTCAGCTCCCCTCCTATGTCCATTGAGCATTGCTCTGCACTATCACTTTATCATTATATAATATTTCCTTTTCTTTCCATTGCAAGCAAAATCCTTCAGCTGTGCTATAGGAGGAATACCGCCTGAAAACATTGTGTGGTTCTTTTCCAGTCAGTTTTCAAAACTATCCCAATATCCTGATGTTATTTCAGCTGCTAGTGAAACTCAGCTCCCACTGCAGCACTGGGGCTGTAAGTACTACCCAGGTAGCCACCCCAAACTGTCTGGTAATTCAGGGGTGACTGAGCCAAACAGGGTTGAGATCAATGAAAGGGAAGGTCATACCACTGGTACCCATACTGTATT